CGTGGGTGGGAGGTCGATGTGTATGTTGCTCAGCATTCTAGCTTCCATTTATCTCATTGCTCATCTTGTCCGGAGTTAAGGTGACTATTCCAAGGTCGTGACTTGGAGGACAAGACTCGTCTCTTGGTTGTGAACAGCATTACGATGCCACTGGTCTTCTTGAGCAAGCATTGTCCGATCCTAGGTTCCTCCCCAAGTTTTACTTGAGCTCTTGCTTTCATAGGTCACCTGCACATGGCGACTTAATTTGTGTCCAGACTTCTAGAAGACATTTCAGTAGCATTTTGAGCATGGTATATCATCTGTTAAAAGGTTTTCCTCCGTGCGTTTGTGGCTGTGGATGTAGAGATCGTACCTCAGGAGCGCCAACCTCACCACCTCAAGTCAGGAGTTGCAGGAGCGGATTTTGTTGTGTGCAGAAACCCGAGATGCATGTGTGCTGATAATGCTAAGTCATGATAGGCTGGGGGCGGTAGACAGAGGGAGAGGGAAGCAACAAGGTAAAACCGGCTGTGCCCGTTAGATTAGGTACAAACTTTAGCGCTCCGGGGAGGGGGGCCGATCGCGCCTCCGGTCTTCTTGATTCTGTCCGGTACAGGCGGATGAGGGAGGAGAGGGCGTGGCAGATGTTGCGCACGTCTACTTTCACTTAAAAATAATTCACGCGCACGTCACTGTGAATCATACGGTGAACACCATCGAAACCGATGGTCGAACTGTCGTGTAAATCATGTATTCGTGAGAGGGAGAGATAGAGTATTGGCAACCGCTTCAATCGATGTTGGTGCAAGTTTTTATGTTGCAGTGATGTCTATAGGACGCTTATGTTGCATTAGCCAAGGGTTGGCACGCTCAGTGCTAGTAGGGCAGGGATGGATGCGACGATTTGGCCGTACTTGTCTCTCCGGAGAAGCTGTAGGAGGGTCCTCAGGTCAGCGCTTTGGTTGCTTCGTAGCAGGAAAAGTATATTTCACAAAAGTGTGTTTTCGGCAATTCATCATCGAAACTGCACAATTACATTGATACTGCCTTTTGTGCCCTTTTTGTTCGCTTCAGTTCCCAAGATAGATTGAAATCTTTGCGAATTTCGAACTGAAAATTGAATTCATTGTATCGAGAGAAGGTGTCCTGTGATCTAAGAAAGTAGCCTTTCTGTTGGGAATGCCTCCATTCCCACAATGAGTCATCGCGCAGAAAGGCTCGTGCATAAACCGTCACGCTACCTACCACGACAGCGTGCGCCTTGGCCGTGGCCAAAGATCTCTCGTCAAATCTGATTGGTCCATGTCTGTGAGAAATCCGTTGGCTCTTTCTCATCAAGCGGATGCTATAAATACACGCACTCTTTTACTGAGAATGATTTGTTTATTTTTGTGAATACAGTTTGCTCGTGACCGATTGTTTTCCCCTCTTCTCCCGTATGAAGCTTGGGGCAATAGTCGGACAAGTGCACGATTCCTATCAATGTTAGGTACCAGGCGCGGTTCATAACACTTTCCCATTCCAGGCAACCTTTCTGTGTACGTCTTTTATTCCGTTTCCATTTAGGAAAAAGACCTCGAGAGTGCTCACCACTGCCTGACCGAACAGGTCGCCAAACTCGAAGTGCAACTGAGAGAACAGTCAAAGCTCTTAGCGGACGTAAGCTCCTCCTCGAAAGACATTTATTTGAGTTGAAAAATTGTTTAACCTGTTTTTTTTCGACTTTCTGGCTTCAAATGATAAGTCGGTTACACATTTTATTTTTTGAGAAGTTCCTTTTTCGTGTTCTTTTTTCAGGGTGCTTTATCAGTATCGACAAACACGTGCTAAATATGGCTTCGTTGTAAGTTAGTCAGGAGATTTACGCAGTGCTGAAACGCATTTTAGTTCTGAACTGGAATCACCGACAACCACTCTTCCATGTTAGACTACCACAGATTTCTGTAAAAGCGACCGTGCAGTAAATGTCCTGGACCAACGCGATGGCCAGATCAGCAATCGACGGGCTTTATTGGGATGTGCACCCCGGGGTCTACTATGCCTACTAATATTAACTAAGTAGGCATGTTGTTAGAATACAACATTCGTTATTATGACAATCACTACTACACACGGTATTCTCGATCTGGTCTTGACAACGGATCCAGGTGAGTGAGAGCGGAGACGGTACGGTATATGCCGAGCAAGTCTCCTATCGCTGTGAACTAATTCGTGTGAAAGTCACTATTTCTGCGTCTATTCTGTTATTAAGCATACGGTGGACATCGTCGGAAATTATGTTTGAACTTCTGTACTAGACCACAGAGGTAACGTGGTGTTGTTCTTCAACCATGCGCTTCCTCCATTTGACCAACATTATGCAAGTACTGAACTTAAACAGTAATCACCCAATCAGTCACAAATATAGTTGCGTGAGAGCGCTATATCTGCGCGTCGAGAACGCATTGCAACGAAACGGAAGGCAAAGATGCTAAATTAAAAAATCTTCAACGGTTACTGAGAGAAAATGGTTACCCGCGCAACTTTGTCAACCAGTGCATAAGCAAACCAGATGAGAGACCAAATTTAATCGGTCTTGGGGTTGATGAATGATGAGCGAGAATGCGGTTTGATGCTGTGAAAATTTGACTATCACTTAAAACCTAAGTCGCGCTCAAGTCACTGCATCAACCTGTTTGGAGCATAACTGGGCATCAACAAAATAGATGGCCGAAGTTGTCGCGTGCAAAACCGACA